TAAATTTTGATCACATCTTTCAGTTAATTCTGAATCAAAATTCTGATCAAAAAGGGGAAATTGTTAAAGAAGAAGAAAGAGGAAGAGAAGAAGAAGGAGTAAGAAAGAAAGAGAGAGAGAAAGAAAGAAAGAACCTCAAATGGAGTCACTTGTGCTGAGCCCCACATCAGGAAACAAGGCTTAACATCTAATCAAATTATAGTTTCAGCCTCTCCCAGGAATATAACTTTTAACTAGTGTATCTAGAATTACCTGATCAGCACTAGTGAGGTAATCTGATAAAGTCCCATCCTTCCCCTAAAGTAAGGTGACCTTGTCTGAAACAATCCACTCTTTATAGAAACTTCTGTTTTCCGCTCCCGTCTGCCTATAAAAGCCTTCCGTTTTGTACAGCTCCTGGGAGCTCCTTTCTATTTGCTAGAAGGGATACTGCCTGATTCATGAATCATTGAATAAAGCCAACTTGATCTTCAAATTTACTCAGCTGATTTTTATTTTTTAACACCGGGCATAACACACTTGAACAAAATCTTCAGGCAAAAAGTGAATAACTTAACTATTTAACAAATATTGACTATGTGCATCTGGGAGCAGGCAACTTAAAACAGAGACATAGGCTGTTATAGACCAAAGAACTGAGACATGAGGAAGACTCAGAGAGCATCCAGACTACAAGTTCCCTCTTCTTACAAAAAGCCAGTAAAGTCTATAAAAATCTCTTCTTCCATAGCAGCACAGAGCATCATAGTCAGTCATAACAGATATAGCTGGCATACCAGGAGAAAGGACATGCCTCCAAAAAATTTGCATACCTGCATGAGTTTATCAACATCCAGTGAGAAGAGAAATAGCTCAAGCTACAGAAATATAGATGAAAAATAATGGACTTTAAGAACAGAGGTTTCAGTAACTGCAGACAGAGACTGGGAACCCCTGTAGTCTGTGTATTAGTCCTGGTAACATAAACAGCAGACAAAAGAAAACCAGAAATCAACACAGAAATAAGCCTCAGACCAGATCAGTAGACAACCAGTTCTCAGGGCCACATCCAATCCAGATGACCAGCATTGGAAGTTAATACGAGAGCACCAACAGCATTTACAGAATGAACTCCATTGATCATGGAGAAAATATACTGTACTGAAGAACACCTCTCCAGGTTAGGAGACATAAAATGAATTAAACTAGTAAGAATTGGGGAGGATTTGCAAGTTGAGGAGACCTTCAGAGAGACAGTCACAACAGGAAGAAGCAGCCAGCAGAATTGTAGACTGCTTTGCATTCTTTCTACCACAAGAGGGAGGGAAGCCAAGAATATAGTTGGAGTTTGACCAAGCAGAATCGAAATTTTGGTGGAGACTAAATTGAGCAAGCATGACTCCAAGTTGCCCTGACAATGAGAGCCCTCCCAGCTCTTTACAATAATGTATTATAATGAGAAAAGCTACATGCAAATGAAGTTAAAAGTAACCCCAGTAGAGCATTCAAGGTCACAGGAGGCATTCAGGAAGAGTCTGTGTAGCAGAAAAGGGATGCAAACAGGAGGGAAACATTTAAATTGTATATTAAAAGGTTAAACTAAGTCCATATGAGAGCTTCTGTGTACTGTGTAAATCTGAAGGGTCTCCTACTGGTTTCAGCATAACTGGCACCAGTATATCTTACATATTTGTTGCTACCACTGAATAGAAGAAGTGCTGGACAGGGAAATAGGAGCTCTCCTGTTCCTTGGTCTGTGTGAGGAAATACAGCAATTGGGTGAATTGAGCCTTCCCAGAATGAGTGGCAGGAAGGGCAACCAACAGCTATATTTGTCTCTTGCTGGTGGTGGTGGTGGTGATAATGGCCGAGTGAGGGATTTTCTATATGCAGAAATCTATTTATATGCATTACCTATATTTTTAATACTGAGTTCATTAGTTATGCATGGTTAATTCTATAGTGTGCAACCACTGCTAATAGCTATGTAAAACTTTGTCATTACCAAGTCTTGAGTTAAAATAAAAAAAAGACAAATACTCAGGAAATGTCAAATTGGCTATTTTTTGCAATTTTTTCAGCCAACATCATTCTTAGGCATTTCTCATCTCACATTTGCAATGTATAGGGATATTAAAAGGAATAATAAATGAATTAGCTTGTACTATTTATTTTCCTCTCTCCCTGATCCCACCCCCAACCTCCTTTACAAGCTGAATAGGTGAATTTGGGTAGATTAAAAGCGTGTATGATGTTAGTCCACCGTGTACAATGTAACGCTACCTCTCCCCACCAGTATGAATATCCACTACTCTGAACCTGCTCTTCCACTCAGTAGCAGACAGCATGAACTCCAAGATGAGTAGCCAGCTTCTATAACAGAGTTCTGCCTGGGTCAAGCTTCACACCCCAGTTCCCTGCTCAAGAAAAGCCCAGCCTTGGTGGCTCTTTCTTCCTCGGGAGCCAGACTTTGTCCTTGTTCCACTGGCTGAAAGATGGGTGTCTTTTTCATCCAACTTCTGAATCAAGGGATTATTATCCACCTGTGACTATCACCTCTCCCTGCGGATTCTTGGCTCCCTGCCCCTAGATCTAATGTTTTGGAAAGTGACTTCAATTCGAAGTGGACATAAGCTCATTCTGTCCCGTGAGCAGCAAGCTACTTTTGGAAACCAGCCCTATAACTCAACTAATTCCCTCAACCCTTGTTTCAGCCGCAGGGGTAGCAAGAGGCCTTCCGTAAACTGAAATTCAGTGGCAACAAACTGGAAACCAGAGGGTGTGTGAATCTGTGGCCCTGAGAGTCCATGCAATGAAAGGCTTCAGAGGATTAGCATCTTGACCTCTTCTCCTCCCTGCTTCCTCACTGGATGAAAACTAGAGAAGAGGGCAAGATCACGGTCTCTGTGTCCCCTCCGTATCTGTGTTACACAAGTAACTGGAGACAAATGGGAATTTAAAGACAGCATCATGAAAGCAAGCATCATGGCACCTTTTTCCCCTCCACATTTCCCTAATATCTAGCACAGTGCTTGGCATGTAGTAGATGCTCAGTTAATATTTGTTGAATGAATGAATGAATGAACAAAGGATCTAATGCAAATGATGGATGATTCTTCAGCTGTGTTCATATTTCTCTCAGCACTATTTGAGCCCTGACTCAGAAGGACCAATGGATCACACCTGTTATGTTCAAATGCAACACTTCTCCTTCCAGGCTTTCAATGCATTTATCACATCACTTAGGTGAGTCTACACATATAATTGAAATACATCACTCCCAAAGCCCCAACAAATGCCACCAGCCACTGTGGGGCCAGTGCTGTAATTTCCAGAGATGCCTGGCTGATCTGAGTGACATGGACTAAAGACATCATTCATATCTCAAATAAGAAGCAACTATACTCATCAGTCTCTCCCCCCTTCCCTCCCTTCTGCTACCTCCCACACCTGGTGAGAATCTCAGAAGGTCCTCAAGGTGTTTCTAGGTCATAAATACCCTTAGGCTTGCTGGGAATAAGCTGGTCTTTGGGACTTCTTCACTGCCCTTTAGAGCTTTAGCATAACAGCCTGTGGCTCTTGTCTGCAAAGCTCAGGCCTGAATTGCTCACCTGCATGGAAATGGATCTAAGTTAGTAATGGACACTTACTAAACACCCACTTGTATAGGCCTTACACAAATCCTGGCTCTTCCGGCATTACAATCTGGTTGAGTCTCTCCTAGGAATAGCACTTCCTTTCTCCCCAGTGTGGATTATATCCAGAGATCCACAAAAGCAAAGACAAAGCACAAAAACAAAAGAGAAGAATGCTTTGTGTAAACTACCCTATGCCCCACCCAGTAAGTTTTATACAGATGGAATCAGGTTAAAAGGAAATAGGGCACCTTAGGGTAAAGGCAGCCTGTGAAAGTTGAGATAAGAGGCAAGATCATTCCAAAAGCATCTGCTTCCTGGTGGGCTGGCTGGATGCATATGGGAATATAGACCTTGTAAGCACCTGTACAAAGGCAACCTGCCCAAACTGCTTTGCCCTCTTAGGTTCCCTTTGCATCAAAGCACACACCTCCCTGAGTCCTGTCATTTTAGAACTTGGACTCTGCCCAGGCCTTTTATAACTTGTTAAAATTGGACTCTGGGAGGCAGAAGATACTTCAGTGGTCACCCTGTCTAACTGTGTCCCATGCAGGAGTCCCCACCCATCCCTGACAGGCAGTTAGACAGCTTTGTCTTATGCACCAACTCAGAACCTTCCAAACATACCTGATCATATGAATCACCAGAAGCACTTCTAAAAAGTACAGCCCACTAACTATTCAAAACTACACAAGATCAAAACCTGCACAGAAAGGGCCTGTGAACCTGAATTTTTAACAAGCATCCCCAGTGAGTCTTACAATTAAGCATGTTTCTTATGTGCATATAATGCAGTGGCTCTTGACAGTAACTGTGTATTAGAATCAGCTAGGAAGTTTAAAAAAAAAATCAATGACAGGCCTTTACCCATAGCTATTCCTACTTAATTTGTCTGGAATGAAGCCCAGAAGGTATAAATTTTTAAAGCTCCTAGCTGATTCTAATCTGTAGCCAGGGTTGAGAACTACCGTAATATCTTTCCAACCTGATGGTAAACTCTTTGAAGCCAGCAACCAAGAAATCTATACCTTTTGAGAACTCCACCACCATGTTGAATCTATAGTAAAACACACTCTACCTATAGTAAAACAACTGCTAAGTTGATCTGATATAACTATCTCTGTTCACCCATCCAATGGGATAAAGCTTCCTAACTCTGTTGAGAAGCTGTATGCTTCCACTCAGCAAGAAGCCAGACAACAGGATACGAAGTGCTATGACTTCTCACAGTTGGATCTACCCACTAACCCCCACACACACAAACTGACACATACACAGACATATCCCCAGCCTTCCCCTTCCCCGGACAAACCAGCCCAAACAACGCCAGAAGCGTCATTCTAGGGCTCTTCCCTCTGCATCCAGCCCCCTGCCAGCTTTACTCACATTGTACAGCACGGTGGTCCACCCTTCCATGGTGATGCATTGGAAGACAGTCAGCACGGCAAAAAGGATGTTATCAAACTGGGTGATCCCATCGTTGGGGCCAATCCAGTCCTTGCATTCATAACCAGCTGGGCAGCCCTGCACACCACATGGGTGAGGAGGGTCAAATCCTTCTAGAATACCTGCAGACACATTTGGAGGGTAGGGGATAAACCACATGGTATTTTAGCATGACCTGGAAATGATCCCCAGGAAGCCACAAACACTCAATTCTATTTCCCACAGAAAAGTATGTCCTTCTTTGTCTCAAGCTCCCTCCCACCTCTGGCCTCTCTACACCTCATAGCTCATATGTCCTGTGTTCATCCCAGTGCTTCCCAACCTCCTCTGAGGCCACATGGCCTTCACTTTCTGCAGGTCACATCCTCTACTCCTGCCTGAGTACCACAGGCATTGACAAACTGGATAACATAGATCAGTCTGAGGTGAAGGCAGAATCTTACTGATTTTCCAACTTCAGACTGCAGTATAGACCCTAAGTTCTTCTCAGGGTTCTTGGGGACAATTATAAACTAAGTCCCTTCAGTGGGTCTCGATTCCTTGTTTTTCTGGCCTAAATTCCTGGTCTTAAATAAGAAAACACAAACCAAAACAAAAATTCCAAAGTAGATGTCCTTTGAAGATTTTTTAAAAAAACAAAACAAAAACCAAAACCAACCAACCAAACAAAAAACCCATGATACTAAATTGGGCTGCTTCAGCCTCCCCCTGATCCCCCTTTCCTACTACGGTATTCAACTGGACTTGAAAAGAACAAATAGGATATAAAGAGATAAGAATTTGGGGTCTGTGAACCATGCAAACTTCACAAGCACTCTTGGCAAGTAAAGCTCAGAGCTCCCTCAGCTCTTCCACGCTCTGTGTGGGTCACAGCAGAGGAGGAAGGTCATGAGCATGGAGGGAAAATGTCTCCACAGAGCTAGAGAGACCCAAGTCTGACTCTGGACTCCAAGGTCCCCCTAGCCTGTGGGCCTAGGAGGCCATTGTACAAAGGGTATTTCTTCAGGCAGGTAGTTTTCAACATGCATCCGGATAGCCTTCTGCCATGGGATGGGGGAGCTGAAACCTCCTGATTGAAATCCTCTGACTGCAAACTTAAGAGGTCATTTGCTTTGCAATACCAGTATCCCATGGGGATCTTTAGTCTAGGCTGCTTGTGCCTCAAGTAGCTGCTGACTAGGAAGTTTGTGATTCTAATTCCAGGGCTTGGATAGAATATACTTTTCCAATCAGTCTCCCAATGACCTGAAATTACTCCAAAGACCAGAGGGGAGAGGAAGGAAAGAAGGAGAAGGCAAGAAACAACGATCCTACCTGAATTGTTCGTGAAACATGCTCGGTGCAACTTCCCACTGTAGAACTCCAAGCCAATGATGGCAAACATCAAAATGGCAAAGAAGAGCAGAAGGCCAATTTGCAGAAGAGGCACCATGGCCTTCATGATGGACTTCAAGACAATCTGTAGGCCTAGAAGGAATGGAAGAAAACGACAAATGGAGCCTCCTTGAGTACCATTTGATATTCAGGTTCCCTTTACTCTCTTCTAGAAAGAGAGGTGCAAGTCTTTGGGGGAAAAGAACCACTGGTCGTAAGATGATGAAGATAATTTGCAGTGGAACAACCAGAACAAGTCAAGCCAAAGATTGCCATCACTACTTCCCCTGGGTCAATTCCATACTCCTTTTTTTTTTTTTTAATGTTTTATTTATTTCTAGGAGAGAGAGAGAGAGAGAGAGAGAGACAGCGTGAGCAGGGGAGGGTCAGAGAGAAAGGGAGATAAAGACTGTGCAATAGGCTCCAGGCTCTGAGCTGGCAGTCAGCACAGAGCCCTACGCGGGGCTCGAACCCACGAACCACGAGATCATGACCTAAGCGAAAGTAGGACGCTTAACCGACTAAGCCACCCAGGCGCCCCGATTCCATACTCCTTTTTACCATTCCTGATCATTTACATGCCTATTACTCCCCTCTTATTTGTTTCACCCAGGTTGCTTTCTGTTTCTCTCTTATAAGTGTATTAGAACATGCTTCTTTCCTAAAGGAAATTAAGCTTGGCCTTGCTAGGCTCTAAATCTTATGAGAGCAAAGACAAAGTTTACCACCCCCACTACTCTATCTGAAACCTGCCTTTCCATCCACTGTTGTAGGATAGCAATCAGTATAATCACTATTCATAAAATACCATATACTTTGACCCAGAATTTGTACTTCTAAGATTCTAGCCTAAGAAAATAATAACACAAATAATAATTTGAATAAGATTTAAGAAAAAAGATGTATGTTGATGCACTATTTCTAGTGGGGGGAATGAAATCTAATGTCCAGTAGAAACGACTAAATAAGTCATTCTGTATAAGATGGGCTATAATACAGACTTTTAAAAACATATTTTTGAAGAGTTTTTAGTGTCAGGAAAATCAAATGCTTTATATGATAGGATCCGAAAGTATACACACAGTATGATCACAATTATATTAAAATGTACAGGAAAAAATGAATTAAAAATAGGATAATAAGGGCTTTTCCTTTTCATTTTATATATATATTTTTACTTTGCCATTTTTCTCCAAAGATCTTTCACTATCTTTAAAATCTGAAAAAAAAGTTGCTAAATCTTAGAGTGAAATGTTATACCAGATTGCTGCATCCCCATTGTATAATACCACTGGAGAAATGGTTTCCTGTTTATCCCAAATTCCTTTAGGCCCCAGATCTAGGTGGAGACACATCAGTAAGGTTATTAACAGAGGAGAAAGAAGAAAGGCAAGTGCTCACTAGGTATCCCTGACACGAGCTTCAGGGGCCTCAGGACACGCACAGCCCGGAGGGTCCTCAGGTCCACATGTGTGTTGAAGTGGGTTCCTGCGGTAGCCAGGATGCTGCAGATGGAAACAAAGAAGGTCAAGGTTATCACAATCTAGCTTTCTCCTGCTAGAGAAAGCAGGGGGGAAGCTGGGTTGCAGAAAGATCAGCCTGGGAAGTACACAGAGCTGCTGCCAGCTGCGTGTGGGTGCACCTGAGCTTGGGTGAATCATCAGTGGTTCCGACTGAAATTATATTTAGCCACATCTGGGTTTTACTTTGCAAAGAAGGAAAACTTATCATCACATCAGAAACCTAGTTCCAAATCATGAGTAAAATACAAGCTCCCTAGCATCTGTCCCATTCCTGCCTCCAAACTTCGTCCCCTACTCTCCTCTCTATTCCTCACCAACCTCCTTTTTCCCTTTCCAACTTACAAAGGCTCCTGGATTTTTTTATATCAGAATTCGTAGGTTCCCCCTGTCTCCTAGCTACTTCAGAGAATTTCTATGGATCAACTGCAGTAAAGGAGCAACTCACTCTCCTTCACCTTGGCAATTAAGAGATTTTGCCAAACAAATCAATCACACTGATGCTTATCACTAGGGAACAACTTAACTGATCCTCCTACGGTATTTTTATAATTGCCCGAAATTATTGTGTAACTTGGATTTGGTTTCTTTGCTTCTATTTTTCCACCGCCACAGTCATATCCAAACATATACACACACAAACTCCCAAAATCCATAAAAATTCTATTATATTATATACATTAAGTACCTTGTCTTGAGAAGACAATTTATTTCATTTAATCCCATGACATTGCTGGTAGTACAGAGGGTCAATGATACTTAAGTATTAATGAAAGACATAGTAGAAGAGCATGAGCCCAGCAGAGCTGGGCTTAAGTCCTGACTCACACACTTGAGGACTGACTGACTTGAAGCAAGTTACACAATTTAACAGCCTCACTACCCTAATTTATAAAATGGAGGGGGTACTATGACCTCACTATAAAAGTAAAATGACACAGTAATGAAAACGATGAGTGTTCTATAGCTATAATGTGCAAACTATATATTACATCCAACACAAATATCCATAATACTGTTTTTGCAACTCTGTCTAATTTTAATCTTCTTTCTGTGGAATAGTACCTGTCGTCCCTCATAACCTCTCCAGGACAATTTCAGCTAGCTGGAGCCATGGGTGAATGAGTCATTCAGAAAACTGAGTTTTCTACATAGTCAAAGGGTGGCAGGAATAGTTTATGTCATTTAATTATTTTGGATGAAATATTTCCTTCAATACTTGAAATCTAACTTGAATGAAAGGTTTATGCTGTATACCTCTAGAAAACAGATATAGGATCAATAGGTATGAACGGCACAGGTCCAAGACTTCAGCATCATGAGCAATAACTTTGAAACAAGCAGTGCTGCCCAAGAACAAAGAGGACTATTTCATGTGGTAGTACACTTCTCAACATTCAACGTACTCACAGATGGCAGGGCTTTCTATTAGGAAGTTAAAAGTATTCCAACATTGGTTGAAGGTTATCTAAAAAACCAGTAGAGATTTCTCTCGACTTTAAGACTCTATAATTTTACATTAACCCAACCTCAAAATAAGGATGAGAAAAAAACCTCTGCTTTCATAAAAGATCTCAGGAGCTAGGCAAGCTTCTCAGGTCTTCTCTACCTCTCCTGACCCAAACTTCCAAACCATCCTCTGAAAATAGGGATGTAGAGAAGCAGCATCTCTGATGTTGCTTTTGACTCTATCTGCCAATGCCTAACAGAGAAATTAGGGAGGGCACTGATATCATTTCTAGCAAGTAGGGAAAACATGAAGAGAAAAGAGAGCAGGAGGAATGTGGAAAATAGGACTGAAAAATAAAACAGACAAAGAAGCAAATAAAGGCAAAAGGAGAAAGAGAAACCTCAAGGCTAAGTACAGTGATAGAGAACCAGAACCCGAGGAAAATAGGGTCATTGTTCCAGTGAGTCTGCGAACAGAGGAAGAAGCACTGTACTCTGAGTCTTCTGAGGTGTGGTGCACATGGGAGACGGCTCTCCCTGTGGTTTGCTCTGTCTTACAAATGTGGTGGGGAGAATCTGCCCTGTTTGGAAACCAGACTTCTGTTTCCTAGGATACCCAGCTACACATGAGATGCTCTTTCGTATCATAAGAGCTACTGAAAAGGAAAATTTCCTCCCCAACCCTGAGCATGTATTTCAGAACATGAAGGTAGTGTCCAAAACACAAAATTAAAAAGCAGGAGGGCAGAAGTATATATAGAAAAATGGTAGACAGAAGGGAGGATAAGAGAATAGGGAAGTGAATGGTGAAAGGAAACATAGACATGAAAACAGGAAGGAAAGAAGAAGAAATAAGGGCTTCACTTATGTGAAGAGAAATAAGAATTCTCATGTGGGAAAGAAAACAACAGAGAGAGAGAGGCAAAAATATGGTACTTGTTGCCAGAACCATGCATCGTGAACCACGAGACACATCCATGCTCTTTTCATCAAGTGTGGCCCTCAGCTGAGCCAACTTGCCCCCAAGTCATCTAAGCTGCCCCAAGCTTCAGCCAGGACTATGCTGCCCGAGGTCCATGCTCCTCTGACCCTTGGAATTTTCTTTTCCTTCATCCTGTGCAGAATAGCTGTCAACCGGGTCTTTAGGTCATGCCCATTCACCATTGGCTGCTTCCTTCTGCCCACATCATGTTTGAGGGTAGGAGTTCCTTTCCACCTCCTAGAAGCAGGGGCAATGGATTATTAGGGGGTAAAGATAATTAAGGGAAAAGGCTGCATAAAATTCTGTGTCCACTGTCATCACTGCCCTTACCACATCTTAGAGGAATTCTCTGTTTTCTCTGGTTTCTCATCTGTCTCTCCCACAAGATCCAAAACACCTCAAGTGGAGACAATCTGGTCCCCATCTCTATCCCCACACCTAGCCAAGGGTCTGGCAGGTAAAAGGTGCTCAATGAATGCTTGATGGATTGAACTGCACTGAGGAAGGCAGTAAATGTGTTGAAGTAGAAACCAGAGGGAAAGAAGTACCAGAGAAACCCTCGAATTTACCAGTGAAAAAGGCAAGTGGCACGGCCAGGATGCTACTCAAACACATGTCTGTTGGAGCGCATGTTCGAGAAATCTGTCCCTGAGCATTTTAGAGTCTAAGAAGGATCTTCCATATAGGTTGGGACTCCTGCTCTCAAGTATGTCCCGCAGGACAGGATCTGTTCAGTTACAGAGTTAGAGAGGGAGGGAAGAAGACTTAAAATGTAAAGACTTGCCCTTTGGCAAAGCCTCAGTATGAAGTCCATAGAGCTCATCAAAACCCTGGAGTTTTATAGCAGGCCCTATGCAGGAGGCTCAGGAAAAGGCCACAGCAGGAAAAGGCCCAGGTCCTCAGTCTGGTGGAAGTGGACAGACACAGAAGTGAAGTACTTATAGTTCACCATGAAGAGTGTCATAACATAGATGTTCACAAAGTGTTCCAAGAACAGGAACACTGCAGGAACACACAGGGCTATAGCGTGTTTCACTATCATCTACTTGCATGTTTCACTATCTGCTAGCATGTTTCACTATCTGCTCACATGTTTCACATAGGTTATCTCATTAGATCCTCAAACATATCCTGGTATTACTACTGTTTCCATTTCATAGAAGAGGAAATCGGGACTTAGAAAAAATTAAATTGCTAATAAAGGCATTAAAGCCCTTTCTCTTCTGATATCAAACCCAAGCCTTTCCCCACTCTACCGTAATGTCATGCAATGTCTTCTCAGAACTGCACAGCTCCACTCTTCTGTGGTCCAGTATGTTGCTAAAAATACCAAGGTCACAATATTTAGTCTCCCAACAAGCCAGTGAGCTTGATTCTCGTTATCACCAAACCACAAATCACTAACTCCCACAGACTTGTCACCGACAGCTCTCTGGACAAGGTCAGAGGCTCCTTGTACTTGAGGCGACAATGGCTATAATATCCACATATGCACACATGAAGAGACAGATGTGTCACAGAATCAGAGTAAGGCCACTGTGCAAAACTCTAATTCTGAGTTAATAAAAGCTTAAGCTCTGCACCACCCCATGCAAGTACTCTTCAGAAACAGGGGCTGTGTTTGTTTTCTATTTCTTTTGTCACTATGAGCACAGTGTCTGGGTGGGGAGCTCTGTACACAGTGGGGTGTTTAATGACTACTCTAACCCCAAAGCAGAGGACAGACACAAACCTCTGACCACCACCAGTATAGATGCAGGATTCTACATACTATAAATGTTCAAAAACTGTTTCCTAGTAGATGTCATGGTTCAGACCTACCTCTAATGATTTTGCTCTTAGCTGTCAGCAGGTAAAAAGAGTTTTGAGCCTGATATGATCCTGGGGGTGTGGTGTGACCATCACTGCAGTGGCAGAAGATGGAAGGGATGCTCTGAGCAATCACAACCAAAGGGCCTCTCCCCAAGTCAGTTATCCAAAAAATTCTCCCACCCTGCATTGCCTTTGACCTTAGGTTCTATCTTAGCCTCCTTGTCAACCCAGGTCTAACAGTCTCTTTTCACACTTCCATGGCTAAAAATTCCCTGAAGCATTATGCAAATATTACACTAAAAAATTATCCATTGGTTATCCGCAGTTCAAATTTAACTGGGCATCCTATATTTTTATTTGCTAAATCTGGCAACTCTCTTCAAGGGATGACCAGGTAAATAGCTTCCCTCCCAGTGAATGCCCTAGCCTTAAACAACTGTGTAAGTTCTCTTTTGAAGAAGATCCACAAACCAGGGGTCTCCTACCCTTAGGCCCAGGAGTTCCTCCTGAGCTCCCAAAGTTACTTCTTTGCTTCTGCCCATATAAATCCCAAAGGACAAGTTAATTAGCCTTCACAAGGCAAGTTGTCCATCAGCATCTGTGCAAAAAAGGCTGAATAATACTAGCAAAGGGTATTAGGTGCTTAACCAGCCCACATTGTAGGAAACCAAGAGGAGATGAGGAGCAACCTAACTCAAGTTGGGCTCCCAACACAGTTTGAGCCAGGATGTCATTTCCATGG